CCTATATTTTGTGTTAACCTCTTAATTAACATTTAATGGAGGCGAAAATAAAAAAGAAACAATTAATTGAATTCAATCTAAAATGAAACAGGACATCTCAAAAGTTAGTCAATTCACCGTTTCGAGATAAAGCTCAACCAATACATGGGCGACGATCGGCGGGGACTGGGAGATAAGTCCCCACACTTTTCAAAGTAGGAGGAGGGGGATTCATATCTACTTCCCCCCCCCCCCACTTTTCACAACTTTTCTATAGTTGAAACTTCACTTTTCAGAGCGACTGGAAAGAACAACAATAATTACGAATGACTGTCATGAATTTTGTCTATTCACTTGTTGTTTAAAGTACGGTTCGTATTTCCGGACCAATACTGAGTAAAAACATAACTGCTTGTACATTTCGTAACCATATCACTTATGGATGCAACGGTTAAATTTATTATAAAAACAATGCACTGTACGTTGTTAAAATTAAGTCTGGAAGTGCCATTTTGGGCCAGCTAGAGGTGCCATAATTATAAGTTTTCTTACCTCAGCCCTAACCATGGTGGGGCTAAGGTGGTCTATACTCCATCTGTAAAAGTCCCTCTCTGGGCCCCTTTAATTTGGAAATGTAGTGTGGAAAAAATGTTAATTGCATTCCTTAAAATTATTTACATACGATTTATGAAAGGCTATAGACGCCAGAGCTTCCTGGGCTTCGCCCAGCGGACCCCTCCGGGGGCCATGGGCCCTGGCCCTAGCCAAGACTTGCCTACCCTCCCCTCCACCTTTCACAACGGATCGACGCCCTTGAACCCATACATAACTTTTAAGCAATGGCACATTACAAATTTTAAAGTTAAATATTAACGATTAATCCTCTACAGAACAATATGCATACTCTATTAGGCTAAATTATTGAGATTGGTATCACTCAGCATTCTGGTCCGTTGATTTCAATATCTTTGATCGAATTCTAAATACAAAAAAAAAAATATATCACTTTTGTGTCAGTTACCACGAGTTTATAAGACATTTTATTTTCGTTTTCATTTCCTATTACGTTTTCATTTTCTATCCATCTTCGCGGATCATCAAATAGGAGATTTACTGCAATACATTTCACACCGGACGTGTCATCGCATCGTAGAAATTGGGTCGACTTGCCATGGTACGAAATACAGACCATGTCACCGAACACATTTGCTACATTTTCTGGACCGGATGGTGGGCTTGTAAATGCCCCTTGTGAATCTAGTAATACGACAGGTAGGCCTAAATATACCTTTTTCAACGATTATCATTGTCATTATATAAAAGTGCCTCCATTTAAATTTATTATGTCCAGTGGCGGATCCATCATGTGGGCGAAAAGGGAAGCTGAGCGGCTCTAATATAATATGCCTGATGTGATCATGAATATTGGGTCGTAAGTGATAGTAAAGAAAGTTTAACATCACCAAATCAGTGATGCGTCCCATAGATGGGATAGAGTATAAGGGTAGGCCTATGATGGTTTAACTATCAAATTTAACAGTATTCAAGAAATAAATGTTGTTAATAATTTTAAACTTAATACTAAGGAACATTTTAAACGTTATCCAAGTGTATTTGCTTAAGCTGTTTTATGATAACATTTTTATTCTTTTAATCTTAAAATTTTATAATTTATAATACCTATAAATTTTTAAACTTTTAAGTTGCTCTTTTGAATTTATAAAATCTTAAAAATGTTTAGCTTGTCTAATTCTTTTAATCTTTATAAGCTTTTAAATTGTTAAACTTGTCGAACTTTTTATGGTTTTATTCTTTCAATTTGAATTTTTACACTACTTTGCAATGCCTTTAATTGTTCATTTTACCCCTCTTTGTTCGGTTTTACCGATTTTTATCCTCCAGTCTTTTTTTTTTTTTTTTTTTTTTTTTTTTTTTTTTTTTTTTTTTTTTTAACTTCTGTGTTTAAGTTGTACTTGCTTGAATGTAAGGACCCCAAAGGAAATAGTTTCTTTTTTACCTTTTTTGGGTCATCCTTAGTATATTGTCATTGTCTTCCCTGTTTTTGTTTGCTTTGTATCTTTTGTATGTAATGGTACTAAATAAAATCAATCAACAATCAAACTACTTTTAAAACCTTTTGAAGATTTAAGTATGTAATTGACCGTTTTTCATCAATACAGAACGTTGGTTGAAAGCAAATCATGAATAGCTCCCTCTCTCTGTTTAATTCTGATTTTTAGAAATTGTTATGTACTGTTCAATTTGGTTCAATCGACAATTCCGGAATTTCTTCTTTATTTTACCACTGGGGAAATTAACAATTGAATTTAATAAATCGTAAACATCGCGCGTAGATCCCAGAGATTTGAATTTAATATTGAAAATAAAATTGAATGAGTCATGAACGTTGAGAATTATCGGAAATCTATATCTATCAATCAAATTTATTTGGATGATGAAACAACGGCACAAACCATCAGGTAGTGAATCATCCATACAAGAAACAGTAAAATAACAATAATAAATATAATGATAATATAATAATTCCAATTTGTAATGAAAAGCATGCTTATACTCTCGTTTGTCTGTGGCAGGTTTAATAAGTTTTTATGCCAGTTTGAATATTTTTATGACAGTTTTAATAGCAGTTTAAACAGATTTGAATACCATAGAAATTGTTGTATCATGCGCTGAAGCCAGCAATTCCATACGGTATTCATTTTAAAAAATTTCCAGATGTAGAAATAGAAGCTACAAAAAGCATATCAAAACCTAATGTGTATTTTGTATTAATTTTCGATGTTAAGAAAAAAAAAAAAAAAAAAAAAAAAAAAAGCTGGAGATGCCGGGGATTGAACCCGGGGCCTCGCGCATGCGAAGCGCGCGCTCTACCACTGAGCTACATCCCCTGACGGCTTAAAGGAAGCGTACAATTGGTGTATAAACAAATATGATGGCGCAATTTTGTTCCATTCATTTCTGAACTCTTTTTTTATCGATTTGCAACGCGAGTGAGAAGTTGCTCCTGATTTGTTCGTATTTTGTAATTTAAAACCCTGACCTGTAGGTTGTTATTATTCACTTTAACATGTTAACTTTTATCTTTTTTACTTAAGTCTTTATCTATGCGGAATTACTACCTACTTAGGTATTTTAGGCTTCTAAGCCTAGGCCTACAACTAGGCTAGGCGTATTTGAATAAGCCTCGACCGTTTGTAACAAAGCTGCATAAGTCAGCTAGGACTACGTTCCAGAGCTATTAGAGGAAGTGATCTACCGATCAAGTTTACGGAGAGTTTACAGTTGTTTTACGCCCTCTATCGGCGGAGCATATGTAACTGTATAAATAAGTAGGTCATGCATGAATGGTGGTAGTTCATATGCTTATAACACCGTCTAGGCCAGTGGTGGACATAAAAAGCAGTTGGAAGGCCGAAGTAAATTTTCGATTTAACACCGAGTGCCGAACCCAAACTTTGGTGTTTCCAGTGACCTTCCAAAAAACCTCCAAGCACTGTTTTTACACCACTTTATTCTGAGTTTTAATGTTACTTTTTACGTACTGTATGATCGGTGTCGGGCCGTGGTTTTAAATTTCTAATCACGGGCCGCAAAAAATTCACTGTTGGGCCGCACTCTGCCCCGTCTGTGGCCTATGACTAGGTGCCAGCAGGGGTGGTGCCAGCCAAGTTTCTAATAATGTATATAATATGGACAATATAAAACTATTTGACAATAACTGCTTGTCTATCAAAAAAAAACTTGACATTTTTGAAAATAATAATAATAATAATAATAATTCTGGATTTATAAGGTGCTTAGCAACAACATAAGAGAAAAAAAATAAACCTGAAAACAAAAAACAAAATAAAAATAAATGAAAATAAATCTAGACCAGACATTGGTTTTCTACCCATAAAATATTAGGCCTCCCAACATATCAGAAATAAGTTTTTGTGTATTATTGCAGTGAGCCTTCAATAGTTATCACCCTATCAAGTCAGACAGGCCAAACTGATCATTTATACTTGGAATACTATTAATTGTTTTTTTTTTGTTTTTTTTGTGTGGGGTGGTGAGGGGGAGTTTTGCATTTGCTATGATGTTTGATCAATTCAAGGGTGGCCCCAGGATTTGCCCGACGGGTGGGCCGAGGTCCCCGAGGGGGGACCGATTCCCCCGACGAGGGGTCAGATTTCTCCGATGAAAGCAAAGTGGGCGTGGTCAAGCTTCGATTAAAAGGCCTTGAAAGTGGTCTAGGGGTGAAGCCCCCAAATATTTTGATTTAAACCCTAATTTAGGGGTTTCAAAGGCTTATTTAATCAATTTTAGAGTCTACTAATATGTAGAAAATACATATAATTTTTTTCTCGCAGACAAATTGTGCTTTTTCTTTCCGACGGGGGTGGGGGGCCCAGCTCTCCCCGGCAAGGGGGCCCCCCACCCGCTGGCACCACCCCTGGATCAATTATGCATCATGTGGGGCAGAATCCAGAGACGTCTGAAAGGGAGGGCTGAAAGTGGGGCCGATCGAGACAACACTACCCTATAGGTCCTGGGGCATGCCCCACAAATTTTTTGTTGTTCAGACGCCCAAAAATATCCTCTGAGGCGTTTTGGCTGATCAAGTACTTCTTTTTGTTTGTTTGTTTCTCTTTTTTTAACTTTTCAAAAAAGGGGGGGGACCCCCTTCTCTATGCAGGAGTCCCAAGTTGCAAGAAACACTACCGGGAGATCCGGTTAAATGAGCTTTTAAACACATCTAATTTTATTTTACTTCATGTGGTGATACCAATCACAGGCATTGAATTTCTATGAGGCCATTAATTATAAAAGTAGTGAAAACATGCAAATGTTATTTGTTATTTGCTTGAGATTGATTATAGTCAGGGATATATTGATGGCGGGAGTGTGGGACGCCGTTCTGATTATCGGGAGACTGAACCGTTGCTTACAGGAGCCTTGGGACCCCTGTATTATGCAAGTATCGAACCTATTTCCTGGCATTCGCAACCTGCGTTTTGCTTTACAGTGTGTTTTGCTACTTTACACTGTAATGACAAACTTGTACTTTTGTACCAAAAGTTCTACCTGGCTTTGGTATGCATATTCCCATTTATCTGCTGTATAACTGTTTATTTGATCAATTTTGTTGTTTTGCAGATCGGAAAACCCCAAAGTATGATTGGAACATCCATCATGACAGAGCATTTGGAAATGCTGTATCACTCTATGAATTTAACAAAGAGCACAATTGTCGAACAGGTAATGTAATACTCCACTTAAACCATGGGTATTTTTTATTACACTTATTACACTTTTTAATTTTGTCAATTTACTTACAGTATAATATCAATGTTATATTCACACTTGTCTGTAAAATTTCAATATACCGTATATACTTGTGTATAAGGCGACCCGCGTATAAGACGACCCACATGTTTAAGAAGATTTTTGGACGATTTTTGTTTGTCGGACGTATAAGACTACCCCAACACCTTCCCCCCCCCCATTTCATTTGTCGGAATTCGCACCTTTTTCTGCTTTTTATAGTCCTGATACTACATTTAGCTGGCTAAAAATGAAGCCAAATGCAAGGCTAATCTCCAAATAAGACATTTCTATGAGTTTTTAAATGTGTTTATCAAAATCTTATTTCCCCATATTTAAAATTGCGTTCATTCATTCTAAAATGTAATAGCTCATTACGGTAGTAAATTCAGACCATACAGAAGACGATCATGATTTAAAAAATCTAAAATTTGTATGTAGTGTACATAGGACGACCCCCTGTTTTTTGATCGTAATTTGCTATTTTAATTCTCATCTTATACAAGAGTATACGATATTCAACTATGATAAAAACAATATTTTATACTTTATGGACTCAGTTATGCTGCTCCATGATTAATAAATATTGATAAGATTACAAGATTAGGTTTGTTTAAATAAAATGCATTATCGTAAATTTTGTACTGTACTTGAAAGATGCCAAATCAATCCATTATCCTAATGTACAGTATACGATAAGTGCCAATGCGTTCAAAGTTCTTGTTTACTAATTCACTGTGTTTTTATACATCATTACTTCTCCGAGGCAAAATAAAAGAACAAATTAGATCTTTGGTAACAGTATTAGAAAAATAGACGAATGAGGTCCCAATTTAAGTTTTGTTTCAAAATATTTGCCTGACCACAGCAAACACTGTATAGTACTGCCATAGTACATCATATTGACAAATTTTCTATGCGTAATGAGTGTCCTCAGCTTACTTGAGGTTTACTAATTGTTAGATTGTTGTATTAATCTTATCAATTTTACTCTAAATTGTACACTTTCAGATTGTTGTTTTCAACCTCCATGTTTGAATAACTCAGTAGTCAGACTCATTTGAATATTTAACTGGACATTTAAAATGATAGACAACAGAACTTCTGTACTCCTTAGGGGTTTGATCCTTAGTAGATATAAAATGAGAAACATTTTTATACTGCCATAAAGTTATGAATTTTACCTCTTTAATTAAGTGTTTCTTTAGATCTTTAGATCTTTGGTAACAGTATTAGAAAAATAGACGAATGAGGTCCCAATTTAAGTTTTGTTTCAAAATATTTGCCTGACCACAGCAAACACTGTATAGTACTGCCATAGTACATCATATTGACAAATTTTCTATGCGTAATGAGTGTCCTCAGCTTACTTGAGGTTTACTAATTGTTAGATTGTTGTATTAATCTTATCAATTTTACTCTAAATTGTACACTTTCAGATTGTTGTTTTCAACCTCCATGTTTGAATATTTCAGTAGTCAGACTCATTTGAATATTTAAAAGGCTTTTACCAACTTTCAAATAGAAAATTTCATCTTTTTAATTGTCTTCCAGGGAGTCCAATTGCTGATGTGTTTGCAATCCACGCCACCGAGAATGGTGCGATTTTGGCGCTAGCAGATGGAGTTAATTGGGGACCCAAACCAAGGTTAGCTGCACAATGTGGTGTCAGAGGATGTATGGAATATCTACAGGAACAGTTTTTCGATAATGACTGTCATCCAAAAAATACTCATGAAGTTTTCAAGGCAAGTTTTGATCGTGACACTACAGCTCAACCTCCAATTCAAAAACCTTTCAATTCCTATACCACCTCTAATTTGTACAACTTTCAATCTTTTGAAACAAAACATACTTTCTAATTAGAGACCAAAACCAGAGCCTGCCCGAAATTTTCAGGTCCCAAATGTCTCAAATTGGAGGGAGAACTCTATTTTGAATTTTCATTCAGTTATTCATTCAGTTACTAATTCTCATTGATTTATTTATTGTCATTTGCAATTTTATTTTACTGATCAACTTGTTTGCTCCTTTTTTATCTGTATTATCATGAGTTGTGCTTATTTATTATCCCATCTTCTACTTAAATTTCAATCTTTACATTTCGTATATACAGTAAATACAGGGGCTACTCAGAACGCAGAAACCCAGTTTCTTTTACCGCACTGCCACAGTGCATTAGCTTTTTGAGTAATTTGGAATGAAAATATTTAGCCAAATTCAGCTTTTATTAGGATTTGGCTATTTGGCTAATGACAGCTTCATGCATTTTATGGGGTTTGATATTTTTAGAATGGATACTATGATTTAATGGATGAGTTTGTATATAAAAGCTCTTTTTTATTAGTAATCTTTTACAATGACAAGCAGACACTCAGCTATAGATATTCAAAATTCACACATTTTTACATAGCAAAGCATAATATTGAGACATGATGAGATGCAATCTTCCTGAAGAGATGAGATAAACCTCAGTATACATAGTCATCCCTTAAACATATCCTGTGAGATCTCTCGCATTAATGATTCAAATGGCAGTAAATATGGTCTACACAGAAGCAGGAAATGACAGTTATGTGTTTGGGTAATATTGTGGTTGGTTAATAGTGATAGACATATAATGTACCATATAACAACCATGTTTGGAGTTCATCAATATTTTTTTTCCCATAATTTTTAAGAAAGTACGAAACACCTTTGTCTATGACCCATCCATACCCATAAAAGAATGCACAGTAATCCAAAATGGTGATTGTTATTACTTTTGAGATCATTACATTTTATATTACACTGTGTTCTCATAGATTCTTTATACTGTACTGCATTGATATTAGTTTTTTTTTGTTCTTTTTTTTACTGATCCAGAGTATACATTAGTTGATTTTTAGGATCCTTACATCATTCACTTCATTCCATACATTATAAACAAAGAAAGCATGGGCATAGGCTTGGGACACGGGCCCACATGGCGACAAATTAGTTCCAATAAGTGATCATTAAGTTTTTATTAGAATAGGTATTTAGTTTCGCATTCTAAATTTGTTTGCACCCCCTCCCTCCCTTCCCCCAGGCAGAAATCACTGTATGCCCAAGGAACGCGTCGCAATTAGAGATAGGTCTGATACCTAATAAAGTGGCAATGTAATGTAATATTGTCGTCCATCTAGAAATATATTCCAGGCACAATTAGTCATTGCACATGGTCAGTTGGATGGAAGCCATGCATCATGTGCAACCTCTCTTGTTCCCAAGGAGGTTTCGCAGCTAATAAATGATTCACAAAATGTTTGCATGAAACGGTTACTGAATGTTATACAGACTTTCCGAGATATTCGTACCAATATCATCCTTAACTTCACTCAGTTCAAACCTTTCTAAGACTCTTTTCACACTATCAAATTGTGTGTGATAAATTTCTTTGGCCATATACAGTAATAATCCCAGGGAGCTCACTTGCATACCAACCAAATAGGGGGGTGCTAAACCACTTCAAGAAATGAGACATTTGCGCTACCTATTTTACTGATAATTCTTATGGACTTTAACTACACCATTTTCCAAAATGGCATGCATAAACTAATAATTTACGGCTGTACTCGCAACTAGTATTGGATTGTAGATGCCACAGTAAAAATTGATAGACTGTACGCACGCGATGTGCGTCCTGTTGTTGAATTGCCTTGGTACCTTGAGCATGTGTTCATATCTATGGTAAATATCTTGAGAGTGTCACAGGCCTCTCTACAATGTCTTTTTTTTTACATGGATGTTAAAAGGGGTGTGTACTCAGTGGTGGATCCAGGAATTTGAAATAGAAGTGACCCAGGGAAGGACATTCACAGATGGAGGATCTAGAAAACCTCAGTCGCACCATGTTTGGTGCTGAACGTTTATAAGTATGGCACGTTTAGATAGCTGGAAATTGCACTCTCAGACTTAAATTTCAATTTAGTTTTCTTTTTTTCTCCATTTTAAAAAATAATTTTGAAATATAACATTTTTAGGAATACTAATTATGGGCCTAACTACTGTAACTGTGGAAGTGGATGGCGCATCAATTGTGGCTTGGACTCCCAACCTTGAGGTCAGGGGTTCGAAACTCTCTCTGTGCTAGTTGCTTGTGTCCTTGGGCAAAGCACTTTATCTACGTTTGCCTCTCTCTACCTAGGAGTATAAATGGGTACCTGGTAGGATGTTGTGGCATTGAATGTTCATTTCGTGCGCTAAAGAAGTAGCGAACGACTAGGAATACTCCCCAGGGAGCAGAGGAAGTTGCACTTTGTGCCTGTTTGCCATTGTACGTTATCCAGTGACCAGGGTTAATAACGCTCACGCCTTTGATCATTCTTGGAATTGGTGCCTAATAAATGTTTGAGTATTATTATAACCATATATTTTTTTTTTATGCAGATACTACGTACAAGTTTGGATCATGGTCAGAATCTCATCTTGAATACTGAGGCAACATTAACAACAATATGTCTTGCTGTTGTTGTTCAGCTCCGAAAAACTGACCAGTTTGTACTATGTGTTGTAAATGTTGGCGACAGTCTTGCTTATGTATACAGCCCCATGCATGGGGTGCGAGAAGTCACCACTGGTAAATGATAATCCTCGTTCAACAAAATCTGTTATATGTAGACAGTTTTTGCAAGCATTAATTTTTTTCCCACTGGGAAGCCAAACTTTTCCTGATGAATTGCCTAATCATCCCCGACCTCTAAATTATTTAGAAAATATCAAATACTTAAAAAAAAAATTTAAAACCGTATTATATGATTTTATTATTATTCGCCCTTACTGGCGTTTTTCACGCAATAGATATACGTGTGAAATTTAAGCTACAATATTCTTCAAGTACTTGTTTACATGACAAAATCAGTATTATTCCTGAGGTGGTTACTGTAAAAATTGGAACTCTTAGCCCAGAACACTCTACACAGCCCCCAGAAAATGTCATATTTTTGCTTTTTATGTCCTCCTACAGTACATCAGATTTGTAATGCAATCCATATAAAATTAGCATAACACATGTTTCAGAATTTGTCTACTGATGATTCATTTTTGCATTTAAAAAATTCCATTTGTCAACAAATTGACATGAATAAAGTGCATAGGTTTTTTTTTCACAGAGCAAATTATTGATATTCCCATGTTCTATCAATATATCTGCAGGTTGTCGTGACTTGTTGCATGATCGTGACTTACGCGAATGCGGTGGCGCCCTTGGACCAGCTGTTGGTGAAGATCCTGACCTTGACAATTTGACATTCTCGTTCACTATGTTAGAACATGATGACGTGGTCTTCCTGGCGAGTGACGGAATTACTGATAATTTTGACCCTGCTATGGCGATGACTGCAAGAGTAAAAGATTTCAAATTCAAGACACTAGACGAAAACTTGCCGCTTATTGAGACAGCAGACAGACAAACACATACGACGCAGGCTATGTCAGAAATGCTAGAACGCTCGGGGAAGCATGAACCAGGAGAGGACACTGCTATGATGGTTTGTGGACGTTTCGTTCAATACGTCGTGAAGCTGACAAACCCATACAGAGACAGTCTTGAGAAATACCATGCACGAATGCATAAAGATAGTTTAGCAGAGGAAGAAAGTAAATTAACGAATGAAGAAAGGATGGAACTGGATAGTCAACGGAAAAAAGCTATTTACACTCTGCCTGGCAAATTAGACCATGCTTCTATGGTGGCATTTACTGTTGGAAACCAGCAGCAAGAGTGCATTTCACTGAAGGATCAAGAGCTGGTGGTTTATCCACCCTGAGTTTATTGTCTTTTTGTTTAAGGCACTGGCAGGGGCACAGGGTTGGCCGGTTGGGCCAAGGCCCACCCAACACTCTTGATCCATGAGCAAACTCTCCTGTAGGCCCCACTAATAATTGATTGAATATTGACTTTGACCAAAAAGAAAACAGACCGTCCTTGGCCGAGGCATGGCTCATCAATTGCCTGTTTTTTTTCTTGTTGGAAATTTTGAACAGAAGGTATTATAGGATACCGTATAAGAAGTTACCAAATTAGTCTCCCAGAACGTAAAAAATACCACTAAATTTTCGGGGCCTCCTGGCCCTGGACACCAATCAGTTTCCCACTCCGCTCACAAAGTGCTTTCTTGGCCCACCCAACGTTCAACCCATGCTGTCCCCTGTGGTTTAAGAGATTGCATAAATTGTTCGAAAATGTTGGCCACAAAAATTGAAGGTTTATCTGTATAAGACATGATTTATTGAAACATGTTTTATACTTGATTATAACAACAAAAATGTAAAAAAAAAATACAAAGATAGTTTATCTTTATTTGTTTATTTGTATTAATACAAAGTTTATATTTTACTACTGTACAAATTGTGCTTTTGTATTTAATAATTAATAATTAATAATTATATTGTGTATATTAACATTACTGTATTATCATTTACAAATTATTAGATTTACTGTAGTTAAAGGTTAAACAGCAAAAAGTTAAAGTCCATTTCAAGAATATGTAGAACATTCCATGCTACACTATGTAGCTTTAAATAGATTATACCTCTATAATTACCGTGCCTAATATTACAATAACATAGTTATATAAGTACAAGTAGTGTAGTATCGTTCTGGCTATGGGCAAATCCAGATTTAAAAAATGCTGTCCTAAATTACTCTGAGTTTGCCTTTTCCCCCGAACAGCAATTTGTATTATGTGCATGTGTGTGTTATGTATGTGTGTACAGGCCTGTGTTCTTCATTCGTTTGGTTTTATTTATTTTTTTTAATTCAAGTCATTTGATTTAATTTTTTAGTTGTAGAAACAAAAGGACAAGAAATTTTACAAATGAAGTTTGGTACTAAAGCAGAAAAATCTTGGAAGTTAATTTTTTTTTTTTTTTTGGCCATGAGAAAAATATTCTCCAACTTGACATGACTAAAGTCCATGCCCCAGGGATTACAATAATAATAATAATAATAATAATAATAATAATAATAATAGATGGATTTATATAGCGCTAATGAAGGTCTCTATGCGCTCTGCAATACTGTGGGCAAGAAGACAAGAAAAAGGGTAGAAAAAAAAGCAAGAAAAAATAAAAACCAAAAAACCACCGAGCTAGCACCCAATCCGAAGTATGTGTTTACTTCGTCACCACCAACCAGAGATCTGTGTTTATGTACTCCGGATCTTTTCCAGGATCAGGTGCTTCCTGACCTGGACCAAACGACACTAGTTGGTGAGGTGAAACAAAGAATTCAGAAAAAAAAATAAGACAAACATGTAATTATAAGACAAAAATCTTAACCAGAAGTCCTGTATACAAAATTACTTTTAATATAATGGAATTTAGTACATAATTTAATTGGTATATTTTTTGGCCTCATATCTTTCAGTTTTTTCTTCCCCATTTTGGCTGTGGTCTGTAGTCTATGACTAATTTCTGTCAATTAAAAATGTATACACAATATAATATAAAAAATAAAATAATATGCCAAATAGGTTGTCTAATCAATTTATTGCCAATAACTGATTTAAATTTTCAGTGGCAAAATTGATTAATATTATTCCAACCTGATGCTTTTCAGGTCTCAGCAATTACAACCCGTGCAACTGTATTTTGATCCCTTCTTTCTCTTCTAAATTAAATTGATACATTCCATTGCCATAATTAACCGTTCTCTCTGTCTTTGCATATGAATCTCTACATTTCTAATCCCTGATTAAAATGATCCTGGTAGTCCTAACTGCTAAACACAGTACTATGAATATTCATTATTGACCCTTTATATGGTAACTGTTGAACTCTACATACATACAAGTATATAGATTTCTGACATTGACAACCATAATAATAAAGTTACAATTATATTTGTATATTCGGTGCTATTTTATCATAATATTGACATTGTTCTTACTTATTAAGAAATGTGATAATGAGTGTCAACATTGTTGAAATAGAATTGAAATTAATGAGTCTCTTTTATGTTCTTTATATTTAAAAGAAAAACCCCCAGATATTTTCATACCGTAAAACCTCGAATTGAAGCCCTGAGCAAACTTTGGATGGGCTTCTTTTCAAGATGGGAATTTTTCGAGGCTACTTTTGCAAAGTACATATAGTGGGGAGGGGGGTGCTACTTTTCAAAATGAATGCTGTAAATTTTGGGAATTTGAACATAAAACGATAATTAAGGCCACTGTAAGATCAATCTGTATCATGGAGTGCATTAACTGGCATTAAATTACCTAAACTACTGTATAATAACCAACCTTGTTTTTTTATATATTTTGTTTTTTGGAAATTCATGTACAGTGTATTGTACTGTAGCCTACTATTTCGGACAGAATGCTATCTTGTTTCCAGGCTAATTTTGCAAACTAAAGAGGGGACTTCAAATCGAGATTAAGTCCATTGGGCATCAATTCGAGGTTTTATGGTATTAATTATATATACAGTATTTGTTATTAAAGTTATTTCAAAACCTATTTTTGAGCAAAATGTATTGACATAAAGACCAACTGCTTTAAACGTTTTCAGATATAACGGGAAGTTAGATTAAGCCTACTTAATTATTTGGGGTTTGCCTGTTTTTACCAGAATGAATTTTTGAGGTGAGATCACTGTCGTTCTAAAATGTTTTTCTTCCGAATCGGTTTTTGTGAGGGCACAATAATTATCTGTACCCACATGAAACCTTGAACCAGTTGCTTTCCAAGGCTAGTAACAGTCCCCTGAGGGCGCATGTGCTGCACATTTTATTCTCATTGAAAGAGATTTTCCAACCCATTTTCAACCAAAGAACGTGACAAAAAGTTTGCATCTTGTCATTTCGGTAGGCATGTAGATTTTTCAAATGAAATTCTACGAAGGTTTACTGCCTAATTGTATTTATGAAACGCCCTTCAACAGTTCCGAGGCTGAATCCATGACGCCAACTTTGATCAATACATATTCGATGACTTCATAAAATTAGCTAACTTTATAGCTCCATGGCCCATAAACTAATACAAGCATACAAACTGCTCTTGGATAGATATTAAATTGTTTACCTTATTTATTCGAATAAACGCCCCATGGCGTTAAATTTTCGAGAGATTTTTTTGTACGATGCATTCGTAGGCATACTCAAACGCCCCTCCATTTAATGTGGAACTACAACACAATTACCATCAAAATGTGTTGCCTGATCATAAATAGGGCCTACTTATTGATTCCAATAATCAAGTTAGAACAAATGTAATTCTACTGAAGTAGAACAATAATACAATGTGTTTTGAATGATGTTCCATTAGATTTATTTACAGTGATTTAGGAGAGGCGTATTCCAAATAAGGCTCTATTCGGGGTGGGGCTTTTATTCGAATAAATAGGTACGTTTTGTAAATATATAAATCTTATATTTATACTTTTCGCGACGCTGCGTGTTGTTCAGTATTAATTTTAATTATAAATTTAATTTTAGCCGAAGAATACAGTATTCTAGTTGCGTTATTATTTAGACTGTATAATTATACAGAAATATCAATTGATAATAAACGTATAAACTCGTTAGACCATTTAACCTCGGGTACGAAGTGTCCTCACGAAACTTGGAATATACGAGTTGGTTGTGAGAAAAGCCTTGGTATTTTGCCAGACTGAATTTGGAAATGATAGTTCACGAGAATGTCCACCAAGCCAACAGCTCTACGGCAACACTATTATGTAGTTCCTTTTATGAAGTTCCTGTTTTCATTTTTTGTTTAATAAAACCACAAGCTATATATTTAAATGCAATATTGTCTGAAATTTTCATTTTATGTCCTTATTTATTGCTACACGTTTTTGTTAAATGTGTGTTGTGTGTGGAATTGCATAAATTTCCTGATTCGTATATTTAAATGAGTTATTAATTAATTTACAATGAAAAAATGAATGAGAAACAATATGTTGCTGTGAATTAACGAACAGTTTAAAAATACGACAGTTATGCGGGACCTTTCCTGTGAGTTTTTATAGTAAAGATAGTACCGTACTCGCGCGAATAAGCGCCCAGTTTGAATAAGCGACCCTTCTAATTTGAATAAGCGCCCCTCATAAGATAAGGATATTTCTCTTGGACAGTTGAGAGCTCCTATCCCTGGACAGACAGTATATTTCCAACTTTAATCTTTTTTCATATTTGTCTATGTCTAGTCCTACTCCTCTTTTTTTTTCCACCTTAAGCACATTCTCATCTGAGTTTTCAAGAAAAATAAAATGAACCTGCCATTCTGCTAATCTCAAACGGCCGATAGCCAACAAGCTAACCACTACCCACCACTAATTGCATCTGCTATTTTTCTGTTATGTACGGTATTATATTCACGCATTCTTGTTATGAGCCATGTTCTCTGGACGATTATCTTTTCTAACCACCATTCGTAATGTCCTTATTATAATCTTTTTTTCATTCAAAAAGTGCCTCTTGAATTTTTAATTATTAAGATAATTTACCATAAGAACCCCTCGATTTTCATCTATTTCCATAAAAGACCCCCTCAATTTCCACTCTGTTGTCATAAGCGCCCCGTTTAAATAAGCGCCCCGTTTAAATAAGCGCCCCTCAGAAACTAAAAAAAAAATATTTTAATCGCCCGGGCGCTTATTCGCGCGAGTACGGTGCAAGAAACTCAGAAAAAATGTTATAACAAGCCATTGTGATTCAATATTTCAAACTTTATTAGTTATCTTCATTCCGGATTACCGTATATATTAATGAAGATAAATTAAGTTCGAAATATTGAATCATAATGGCTAATTGTATCACTTTTTGGAGATTGTTTCATACCATAATGTCAAACCTCGGTAAACTCCTGGTTTGCAGTAAAATGTCTGTAAATCAGCGAAAAATATGTCTGTTGAGTTAATAATTATTAGATCCTTTAAATGGACTATTTAATATTTTGATTGGATTTTTTAGGTTCCCCCGCTTTTTACTTCTTGTTCATTTTTTATGTATTTTTTTTGTTTTTTTGTTTTTTTGTTTTTTTGTTTTTTGGGGGTTTTTTTAGTTTATGAGACAGTACATTTTTAAGCCATCGTCCCTAAGCTTGTTGTTTGAAAGACGGAAATTGCTGATTTGAGTGAGACGCATTTTGATTAGTGATGAATTTTAAGTTGACTGATTTAGAGGACAGTGTTGTCTTCAGTCACGTGTAGGGGCCTATGCCTCATTATAAACAGGTACATTTGGACACAAGCAAGCAATCTGGAACATTTGAATTCGTCAGAGAAATGTTTTTAGAGCAGAAGACAAGAGTTAACTAGACTTAGTACCGGTATGTCTGTTTGAACAACAGAACATAGGACTTTCCCATTGATTTAGTGAGAAATGGAGTTGAAATTGCAAGAAAAAGAAAAGTCGTTAAAAGGTATAAAGTAAATAAAAAACACAGAAAACCAATATAATTTTAATAAAGTGGAAAAAATGAAGTGAAAAAAAAACTATGACTTGAACTATGGCTGCAATGGTAATGGCGAGGTACATCGTGACTCATAACCATTGCGCACCATATGAGCCAACCTTGAATAGGAAAGTGCATTTTCAATTCATAGCGATTCAATGACTGAAAGCAAAAATTGTTCATGCATATCACTATAGTTTTGAGTTTAACCATGGAGGAAATATTTCCTCCATGGTTTAAGCTAGCTGTAACTGTTTTAAGCGCTTTAGAAAACGTAAATTGCGTTGAAATAATTCAATCTACTGTCAACAAAAAATCCTTTAAATGGTCCTCATATTCACCCTACTGCGGATCGTCACCAAAATTTGATCATTTCTTCATTTCACCATGAACAATATTCTGCAAAGTGTCATTTTTATCCATCTATAACTGGGACGTAAGCATTTTAAATTACCCTTAAATTTACACCCTAACCCGGATTGCCCCCTACACATAATACTATCAATTCCTTGTAACTTGGGTTAAACTTTCCCGAAAGTTTCATTCTGATCAGTTGACCCGTTTTTGAAATATCTGGGACATTTTCCTTTAAATGGTCCTCATATTCACACCCTACGCCGGATCATCACAAAAATTCAGTCATCTTTACTGGATTTTACACACTATTATAGAAAGTTTCATTTACACCCATTGAAAACTTTTTATAGATAGGCCTATTTACGTCTGGGATCTAAAAAAAAAATTAAATGACCCTCCAATTTACACCCTTGACTGATTCTTCGCCAACACAATACTATCTTCCTTGTAACTTTCGAAATATGTGGTCTGGGACGTTTTCTTTTCTTGGTCCTCAGATCTACACCCTACTCCGGATCGTCACAAAAAATTAATCATTTCTTTACTCGAACTTGACAAACTGTCATACAAGGTTTAAATTATACCCATTGATTTTTTTAAAGAGATATTTAGGTCTGGGTCCTCAAATTGAAATGACCCTCCAATTTACACCCGTGACTGATTCGTGGCCAGCACATAATAATTTCTTCCTTGTGGTTAAACTTTTTCCGAATATTTCATTCAGATCAATTGATCCGTTTTCGAAATATGTGGTCTGGGACGTTTTCCTTTAAATGGTCCTCAGATCCACACTATAGGCCTACTGCGGATCGTCACAAACATTTAATCATTTTTTACAAGACCTTTACAAAGTAGGCCTATTATAGAATGTTTCATTTAGACCCATTGGTATTTTTTAAAGAGATATTTAGGTCTGGGTCCTCAAATATTGAAAAGACCCTACAAATGTACACCCTTCACTGGATCGTCACTAACACATCAACATTTCTTCCTTGTAACTTGATTAAATTTTCCCGTAAGTTTCATTCAGATCAACTGACCGGTCTTTGAAATATCGATGTAGACTGTTTTACCTTAAATCACTTTAATTGTCCTCACCGCTCACCCCACCATAGATTGGCACTAAATATTAGGAGCACGGGAAAATTCTAAGCATGGGAAGTGACCAAAGTGACGGCCAGAAAAAAAAAGTGCAAAATGATAGGAAAAATATATGCAAGAAGAAAGAAAAAAAAATCAGAACAAAAACAATGGCTTTTCCCACTGCTGCAAAAGCCAATAATAATCTCAGATGTGTTGACCGTTTAAGCCCCGCCCCTAGATAATTGCTATGCTGTGCAACCTTAACAGTAGTATTGACTATTAACTAACGCATCGTATTAGTCAGTCGTTGGGCATTGATTGACACTCCGGTAAAGTCCATGGGGGCTTGGGGGGGGGGGGGGGGGGGGGGGGGTCGGGTGTTACGACCCCCATAAAATGTTCAAAGGTCCACATTTTTCCAAAGACATTTTTTGCTAGGGCATTTTCACAATGACATAAATGAAAAAAAAAAGCATTGACGAGGTACCAGGAATGAGTCCAAAGAACTTGCCAATTGCGTGACATAATCATGGAGAGGATGCAGGGAGGGGGAGGGAGTGCACCCCCACTAAATTGTATTGAGGAAAATTAATTGTTGTATTATATTGTTGATATGATTTATTTGTAAGATTTTTAAGGTACAAGAGAGTGCACTTTCCGGGTACCCAGAGGTCTATATTCTCAAAATTTTCGCTCCTCAGCCTCAAGCATGTTGGGGCTAAGGTGGTGAACTCTCACGCACCCATGGGCGCAGATAATGGAGAAAGAGGTAAAACGTCCTGGAGTGGCGTCAGGATTTCCCCAGTCGGGGGTCTCAGGTCCCCGACGAGGGTGCCGATGTCCCCGACGACGGGAAAAATTTCCTCGACGAGAACAAAGTGGGCGTGGTTTAAATGCCTCGAAATTGATCTAGGGGTGAAGCCCTCGAATTTCGAAAATTTAGGGGTTTCAAAGGCTTATTTAATCGATTTTAGAGTCTACTAATATGTACCCCCGACGGGGGGGTGGGGGTGGGGGAAGCTCTCCCCGACTAGGGGCCTGGCCCCCCTTTTCGGATTTGTTGATATAAATGCATACATGACTCAGGTTTTAACGAAAGAGCGCTGTACAGCCAGAGTACATCTTATTTTATAGCAAGATACCTGTATCTCTGCCCACAAACATTTGAATTACCTATAATACCGGTACTCGACTCGAGTGCGCGTGCCTTTATTATAATTTAAGATGTGTAAGAAAAAGCGTGCAAAATAAGCTTGGGTTTGGCACATAAAGTATTTTATATGGTACAACACAGCGATTAATTAGATCGATGATGATGAATTTTGCTATATGACAGGTACATTTTCCCCAAATTTTACCACCTTAGCCCCAACTGGAGGTGGAGCTGAGAGACGTGTGGACTCACATTTTTGAAGTAAGTAAAGTAAATACATCAAAGATAAGACAATGTCTTTGAGTTTTACTTTCTATGGTCACGTACATCACACATACTAATTAAATCTCTATGGTTGCGCGCCGAAAATAGCTGAAAAAACATCATGAGAATTTGTTGGCGCTTCATTTTAACTATATTGTAAGGGTGATGTGATGATGATGAATTTTACTATTTAAAACTGTCATTTCGAGCCATCTTGAGGTACTATTTCCTCAAATGTTCTCACCTCAGCCCCACCATGAATGTTGCCACATGGCTTTGAGGTAGGTCGAGTATATTAAATACATCAAAGAAAGTGTTCCTTTAGTTTTATTTTCTATGGTACATCACCCGTATGAATTAGATCTGTTGTTGCCGAAAATCCCTGATTAAGGGTCATCAGAAATTTGCTGGCGCTTCATCTAGACTAAATAATGATGATGTAGTAAGGGTGAATTTTACTGTATAAAAGTGTCATTTCCAGCCATCTAAAGGTA